CCACAGCCCCAAAGCGACACGCCTGCGCAGAAGACAAGAAGTCACACTCAGTGGAGCCAAAACCAGGAGCGGCAGAGTTGTGATGTGAAAGCCTTCACTGATCAGGATCAGGATCACACCTATCAAGTATACCGTTTTGGGATAAACCATCAACCCTGCTTAATGGTCAACTTTCCTCGCAGGGTCACACCCATTAGGATAGTGGGAGGGTTAAATGATTTTACTCCTTATTCCCGCTGTCTCCCCGAATTATTATTTACTGAATCCCCCGCTCTAATGGAGACCCCACTCCAGCTCACTCCAGCAGTACCTCCCGCTCCTGTTCTCATGCTCGTCTGTATTTTTAATTCCTAAACTTGACAGGATGTCCCGATAGACTCCTGAATCCTTCTGTCATCACTTCTCCTCAGGAACATCCAAACACAATGCTAACCTCTTCTGAATCTGTGACGTAGGGAGCGGATTCATTCCGACATGACCAGTCGCTTTCAAAAACATCAGATATTTGTCGAAATCGGTGCCACATATGGAAGTGCCATGGGTCAGATTAGAAAAAAAATGAATCTGTGCTGTTTAGACTGTCATAAAAAAATCAGATAAGGGTCGCATGCGGAAAAAAAAATCAGATTTGATGCTCTTTTGCCTGCAGTGTGAACGTAGCCTGAGGATCTGGACCACCCTTTAAACCCTATCTAAACAGCTGATTCCAGCTGATTGTAACTTGTGTTTTTGGTGATGATGAAATTCTTGTACCTGTGGGTGAGGTTCAGAAGATGGATCAGTTCCCTTCATCCTGTCATCACCAATGAACAAGGCACCGTGATCCTGGGACTCCTCTGCTTGAGGTAAGACTCAACCACCGCTGGCTGGGGCCCTTTGGTTTCTCTTCTTTAAAACCAACGAAAGAGATACATAGTTCCTGTTAAAATAAGTATGTTTGTGTGGTTGCAGAGTCTGCGCCAAGCTAATGCTACAATGCTGGCATTGGTAATTCAAGACTGGCTCCAGAAATGTTTAAATAACTGAAGCCAGTAAACAGGAACGACCCAGAAGGTATTTCTTGTACCCCTAGGAATCCACCGTATCTTTTTGTTTTACTCTAAAATCGGCTTAAGAAAGGCTAGAGGCTAACGTTGAGCTAACAATGTTAACAGTGATTTAGAAGCAAATAGTCATGTCCCAAAATACCTCAAGCTACTTTATGAATGACCAACAACTGGATATTAAAATGAAGTGTGTGTAAAATGAAACATTTGTCAATAGATGCATTAGTTGTTCAGAACTAAAACAGCAAGCTAACTGCAAACAACCACACTTCATCTAATGTCAGACACATATTACCGTAAAAAGTGTAGTAGGTGCTCCCTACTGTAAGACACCCCAGAGTGCTAACACCAGAGATAACACTAAGATTTAACTATGACATAACATTAAGATATACAGTGTTGGGCAAGTTACTTCAAAACTGTAATGCATTATTAATTACTTGTTACCCTCATTTTAAAGTAATTCATTACATTACAATATTACTGATTTTAAAATGTAAGGCATTACACTACTTTTGCATTACTTTAAGTTACTTTCACCGATACAACTTCAGTATGAATCTGGTAATGTGACACTCAGTGAGCTCATGACATATATGTGGAAAGTGATGTGGTGTCTGAGCTAGGATTGCTGTTAAAAACAGTCAGATATAATAACAGTGCTTTAAAATGATTGTTTATTAAATAAAAACAGCAACAATCTGTACTCTCAGCATGCTGCCATCTTATATTAACTGAGCAGGGAGTGAGGTGGTGGGGGCTCCAAGCCTATATTTGCCTTGGTCCCCAAATGCCTTGATACGGCCCTGGATGTGGGACTGACTTCTGGGGTGATCTGATTCTATCACATGTATAAATATTAAATGCTTATATATTATTGCTTTTCACTGGTAAAAATGTGTGTTGGGGATAATTCTACCTACTTTTTTCTTTTCAAGCACTCCGTTTTGTTTTCTTGATTTTATTAGAATAATTTCCTGCCCTTTCTCTCTCTAACCTTCCTGCATGCTGCATGTTTTCTCCGTCTTCCCAGAAAAAAACTGTTTCCTAGACTTCCTACTTTCTAACGATCAGCCAAAGGGATCTTCACATGCGCGGCGCTCCAGCAGTAATGAGTTGAAATCACCGGGGCACAGATTATGAACTCAGCTGAGGCAAAGCACGTCAGAAAAGCACAAAATACCAGAGAAAATGCGCTGATATGAATGATCGCAAGTGAATTATTTTGTTTTAGTGGAGCGATTTTGTGAATGTTGCAGCGGCCGCGCGCAGGATGCAGCTGAGCCGTGTAACGTGAGGAAATATGGGAAATATGGGTTTTCTGTCACAATGGTGGTGTTGGACGCAGCTGGGTCAAAGCTGGGTCATTGAAAACTTTCACCCACAGATTAAGACCTGAACGCCAGCGAGTCTGGGAAGAAACCATAACATCAGCCACCTGCAGTCTACCAGAAGATGTGTTTCCATGAGTTGTACCCAGACCAAGTCAAAACATAAAGTTTAAACTTCTTTGTCTTGATTTTAATGTTAAAGTAACCATTATCATTTTGCTCATTATAAATGTGTTTAATCAAATGAATGGTTCTTATGCTTTGGGGTAATTATAATGGATTAATGAATCCACACTTAAGTAGATAATGTTGAGTGTTTGTTACTGACCTTCACACACACCCACACACATCTTCCCACAGTAAACTCCAGACACATTTGATGACGCACATGTTTGCTTTGAGAAGAGAAAGGTTTTTGGTAAGTTTTAGTCTTATGATTTCATTTCGTGCTTGACAACGAAAGAGAGAGAACCTGAAAGGGGGGACAGAGCCTGTTGGCTCGTTTCTTCCCCCCCCTTTTCTCACGCCGTTCCTGCCAAGCCAGGCAGAATAGCTGAATCGCAACTTCTAACGCAGACTCATTACCGAGTCTTTTGATTTCTGAGTGAATTAACTTAAGAAAGCGCATCGACAAAACGCTTTACCATCAACGTGTACCGAGGGCAACTCTGGACCGGTTTGCGGCGCATCTTTGTCTTCTTTGCCAGCCAAGGTGCCCTGGATGAAACATCATCCTAAGTTGTCGTCCCGGGTCCAACAGAGGGTCCGATTTTCGGTGAGGCAAAACACGACAGATAGCGTTTTGATGCATCTTTTCCAACTAAACCTAAGTTTATTCAAACCATCACTTTTCACTCAGACACCTGTTTCTTCCTGAAGCAAATTCAGACTCACACACGCATCCATCTCACCTCATCTCACCACACTTTGCACCCACACGCATCCATAATCACATCATATCACTTTCACAACTCACAACATTCTCAATCTTCATAAATTCACCAGAAGGTCTATTTGAGCAAGAACAACATATCAACTGTTAAAGATTGTCCCACAAAGTTGCCAATGTTGATTGTTATTTCCTGTTTGTCAATTTCAAAATCATTAGTTTAATTTGAAGAATTAAAACTTTTAATTGTCAAACTGGTTTCCTCATTGAACTGAAACACAGACTCTCAGATATTATCGGCAGTTTATCGATGAAAACAATCTTTGAGTCTTCTTAACAATAAAACTGAGTAAAGACAGTTTCTCCTTACAATATGACCAGCCAGCCAGTTTTACAATATAACTGAGCCAGTCAATATTTTCTTTACAATATGGCGAGCGTATCCAGTCTTCTATATCTGCGATATGTCTGATTTCTAACATCTGAAAGCGAATTTTTCACAATTTTCGCCTTTTCTCTGTGTTTCACTTTGATGTCTTATTTTAAAAAAAAAACGGAAATTGTTCCGCTGAAGTCACTCTTCCGGGAGACGTCCTGGTGGGACCTTGACGGTGAAGATCTCCGATCTCAAATTGTCCACAAATTACAGACAATACTTTGATTTATCCCATCTTCGCCTTCGGAGCGAACGTGTGAGTTGTGCTTTTGACTAAATTCTGTCCATTTTGACGCGAAGCCGCGCCTCTAATCTCTTCAGGTCGGAAAGCTACATTTCCGCTCTGAACCTTGCTGGGTGGGCTACCGTGAGCAGCTTATCCGCAGTCCTAAAATTAAAACTAAATTCTCCGAACCTCCGTACCGAAACTAAATTCTCGGACACCCCTCGTCTCAGTGTGTTGACACTGTGGGCGAGCTATTGTGGAAAATATTTCCATTGCATAGGCGACTGATCGACGCCGAATCTAAACCGGAATGCTCGTAGGCACCTACCGTAGCTTAACTTGCTCGGTAAACGCTGTAAATCGGGTCATGGCCGTCACTCGTTACTGCATCCAGATTGCGTACGCTTTACAGTCTGTTTTAACAGAGCGGAGCGAGATGCCTGCTTGTTAATCGGGAAAATTTAAGTCTGGTCGCTACAGACAGAAAAGCTAGACCGAGCCGGAGAGCTAAGCTAGCGAGCAACGGTTGGACAAAAAGGGAACGCGTCCCATTAAATTGTCAAACCATTTCTGACACAGTCAGTCTGTGTCCTCACAAAACCCGCATTGGCATTGATTCTTGTAATTCACTACGGTGTGTAGAATCTACATTTTGCTACGTTTGTCCGTCTGATAACATCTCGGCAGCGTACGGTTTATTATTTTTTTTTATTTATTTTGGACCGGTGAACTGGTCGGCTTTCACGGCCTCCGTTGCTCGGATCCATGCCTTTTTCTTCCATCTTGTGAAGTTGTGTGTATTCATTTCTCTATCAACAATTCCTTGTTTTACCCTGTGTCATAAAGTTAAGTTACGCTACGGACAGTCCTTGATTGTGAGATAAATTAAGGAATTTGCCCGGAGTTTTACGTCGACTCAGAAGGTAAAAACACGAGTTGCTCTGAACTTAATGAGAGATGGACAAGACACGACAAAATCTTTCTTGTACTGTTACACCTGATGTAAGGTTCTCTGACGTTCTGCTTCCAGAACATGCCAAGACGCAGGAGACTGTTTACCGGCCGGGCCACGCTGGTCCCTCCGCCCGCCCGAACGGGCCCGCATTAGGCGGGTGCCGCCGGTCGGGCACGGTGGGGACTAGTGGCAGCGGTTCGGTGCCAGCTGCTCGGGGTCGGAGGTGGTTCTGGTCTGCACTTCATGACGTGAATTCAAACAACATGCTGTTTACAGTCATAACGCTTTTTCTTTACATTTATTTCTTCCAGGGGGTCAAAAACCCACCATCAATATCAAGGTTTGAAATAAACAACACTTTCTCTGCTACTTTTAAGCTGAATAAATCTCATGAGCCTATGGTTAACCTCTCTGACAAACAGGTTGTGCTTAACCCTTTGGTTCCTGATGCTTCTTCTCTGTCATCCATGTTAAAGGCTGACCATCTCTCCAGCATGGATGTGAAATCTTCAGGCTGTGACCCATCGCTTCAGTCAGAGGTCTGCTTTAATCGTCGGTCCGCCTCATGCACAAACCGGCTTGTTTATCGGGGCGTGATGGAAACGTCAGCCGCCGTGAAACACTTGTGGTCTCCGGACGGAGCCACCTTCCCATTTGCAGGGTTTGTGCCCGGACATCTTGACCTTTATGTGAATGACCTTGTCACTTTTCAGTTTGTGACCTCTGCTAATACGGTGGCCAATTATTTGCTCCTTTCACAGGGGTGTGACTCTGTCTCTGGCCTCTGTGCTCTATTTCCTGTGATTTCTCTTTCAGGTGACCACGACGGCGCAGGAAAACCTGCGGTTTCCAGCAGTCCAGTGGTCAGTGCCAATGTTGAGGACGCCTCAGTGGTTGCTGTGCACACCTCTCTCACGGGCTCGGGAAGGCCACCCGGCCCGGGAGGTGTAGGTGGGTGCAGTGATGCCCTGCTCGGGGCCCCACCTGACAAAAGGGGGGTGTCGGGTGGCACTGAGTTTTCCGTTGCGGACTTCAGGCTGTTCGGGGGAACGCCTCCTCCGAGCGGGCGGGTCATTGCAGGAATCGACACTGACCTTCCACCAATTCAGCTGACAACATTGACCTCCGACCCGGAGTTAGGTGCTGCACCTTCTACGGGGCGGAGTTCTAGTCAGTCTGTAACTACTCTGGTTAAACCAGGTTTTTCTGATTCTGTGTGGGAACCTCCATCATTCTTGGGAATAAAGTATTCTTGGCTTCAGTTTTCAGGGCAGAACATGTTCCTTTCGATAGTGTCATGTCTGTATCTGATTCTAAACATGGCTAGGTTTGCTTTGACACCCGTGACACGACCATCCTTGGATCACTCCTTTTCAGAACCTCCAAGTCCAACACCTCCAGGTCTTTGGACATCTGAACACCTACTCTTTCAGCACAATTCAGGTGACAATGTGCATCTTCTTGGTAATAGGGCTTTTAAGAGCTTAAGAACTTTTCTTTGTTATGCTTCTCCTGTCTCACAGACACGGCATAAGTTTGAGAAACAAAAGGGGGGTGGGGAGCCTCCTCCTGCTTTGCGAGCATCATTTTCGCATTTCCAGTTCACTGCTATTTCTGATCACAAAAAAGTTGCCTCCGTAAAGCTGCAACCCAACTTTGAGCAGGTAAAATCAGGTTCTGATCTAACAGTTATACCATCAGCTTCACTCGAGTTCCAGACAGAACCCTCAGGTAAATTCAAACAAGTTTCCCTGTGGGTTCGTAACACAAGATACAATAAGTTTGATAACCCAATCGCTTATGAGCCTGCTCCCACAGATACGTCCAAACTTGTGTCTCTGTGGGTCCGCAATACCAGATTCAAAACGCTTACTGAACAACTCTATTCTGATCAACTCTATTCTGACCGGATTCTTTTCCACTACCTGGTGGACCGTTACAAATTCTCTCGTTTGTGGGATGAATTTTTAACAAATGTGGATAGACTCCCTTCTACACGAGACCTGTGGAGATGCTTCATCGTTCCTGCCTTCATCTGGGATGTCTACCTTCACGAGTGCATCACGTTATTGTGGTTGTGACGTCAGGTGGCCTCTGCTTGACCACCATGTCGTCACAAAAAGGGGGGTCTGTAACGTGAGGAAATATGGGTTTTCTGTCACAATGGTGGTGTTGGACGCAGCTGGGTCAAAGCTGGGTCATTGAGAACTTTCACCCACAGATTAAGACCTGAACGCCAGCGAGTCTGGGAGGAAACCATAACATCAGCCACCTGCAGTCTACCAGAAGATGTGTTTCCATGAGTTGTACCCAGACCAAGTCAAAACATAAAGTTTAAACTTCTTTGTCTTGATTTTAATGTTAAAGTAACCATTATCATTTTGCTCATTATAAATGTGTTTAATCAAATGAATGGTTCTTATGCTTTGGGGTAATTATAATGGATTAATGAATCCACACTTAAGTAGATAATGTTGAGTGTTTGTTACTGACCTTCACACACACCCACACACATCTTCTCACACAGTTAACTCCAGACACATTTGATGACGCACACGTTTGCTTTGAGAAGAGAAAGGTTTTTGGTAAGTTTCAGTCTTATGATTTCAGTTCGTGCTTGACAATGAAAGAGAGAGAACCTGAAAGGGGGGACAGAGCCTGTTGGCTCATTTCTTCCCCCCCCCCCCCCCCCCCCCCTTTTCTCACGCCGTTCCTGCCAAGCCAGGCAGAATAGCTGAATCGCAACTTCTAACGCAGACTCATTACCGAGTCTTTTGATTTCTGAGTGAATTAACTTAAGAAAGCGCATTGACAAAACGCTTTACCATCAACGTGTACCGAGGGCAACTCTGGACCGGTTCGCGGCGCATCTTTGTCTTCTTTGCCAGCCAAGGTGCCCTGGATGAAACACCATCCTAAGGTGGCGTCCCGGGTCCAACAGAGGGTCCGATTTTCGGTGAGGCAAAACACGACAGATAGCGTTTTGATGCATCTTTTCCAACTAAACCTAAGTTTATTCAAACCATCACTTTTCACTCAGACACCTGTTTCTTCCTGAAGCAAATTCAGACTCACACACGCATCCATCTCACCTCATCTCACCACACTTTGCACCCACACGCATCCATAATCACATCATATCACTCTCACAACTCACAACATTCTCAATCTTCATAAATTCACCAGAAGGTCTATTTGAGCAAGAACAAGATATCAACTGTTAAAGATTGTCCCACAAAGTTGCCAATGTTGATTGTTATTTCCTGTTTGTCAATTTCAAAATCAATAGTTTAATTTGAAGAATTAAAACTTTTAATTGTCAAACTGGTTTCCTCATTGAACTGAAACACAGACACTCAGATATTATCGGCAGTTTATCGATGAAAACAACCTTTGAGTCTTCTTAACAATAAAACTGAGTAAAGACGGTTTCTCCTTACAATATGACCAGCCAGCCAGTTTTACAATATAACTGAGCCAGTCAATATTTTCTGTAGCCGTTACCGCTGCGTCCTCTCTGCTCGCAAAGCTGAGTCCATAAATGACGTAATATATGCAGACACTGGATCTTTGTTTGGGTTTCCCGCAATTTGAATTTTTAAGGAACACATCTTAATTCTGGGTTTAAAAATGCATTGTAATTACCGCGTTACTGACAATTGTACCAAGTAAATATTACCATTTTCTTTCCCTGTAATGCCTTACATTACCACATTACAGCAAAAAGCAATGCATTACAGTAATTAATTACTTTTGTACCGCATTACTCCCAACACTGAAGATATAACTATGTATTTATCTACTTATCAACTCACCATGTGTGACTCATGTTCGCTTGTCACATAGAACCTTTTGACACTGATCTGTAATTGACAACACCCATGCAACTTACCGAATGGCAGGGAGAAAACATTTATTTTTGCTTATAAAAATGGCCTTCAGTGATTGCATTTGACCACAATATGTCATTCTAACGTCATTCTCACGTATTGCACTGAGCAAAAGTAGTAAATATCCTCTAGATTGGTTGAATGTCTACTGGAGGATTGACAAAAGGAGTACTTTCAGCAGAGAAAAACTGCATTAGAAAAGCTAACGTTCACCACCACAGGCCTTGGCGTAAGGACACTCATCTACAGGAGAAGAGATCCTGAGGTTTCTAAACAGGGTGCACATCTTCTCACAAACGGAGTTTATTTTTTATTTCATCCACTAATATTAACTGGAAAAACATTTTTCACTTTTCTTAATTTATTTGAAAGCTGTAGTTATTTTTCAGATTAAAGGAATCAATAGGGCTTGTATCCTTTCTACATGAATATATCTAAAAATGTCAATCTAAGTATGGATTTGCAGCAGGCCCTCTCTTCAGTTCAAGGAACTTCAATAAGTGTGTCTGGGTTTAAAACATGATTTCCTAAAATTTTGAATGAATCAAATCACCAAATTAATTAATATAATCAAAGTTGCTGTCAGGCATTCTGATCTCCGCATCAATCAATTACTGTGAAAGTTTTTTTCATTACATGTATATAATTACTTTCCTATTTGTAAAAATAGAACTGAAACAGTGGAAAAGACACAGGAGACACATTTCAAACAGCTTGTTATGGATTATTTCCACTGATTACTGTGGAAGATTAAAGCTCCTGAATATTTCTTCCACATGTGACAAATTAAAAAGAAAATATTGATGTGACTGATTGGAGGTGCAGAAATCATATTCACCATGCGTAATAATGCTATTATTGAAAATGATCTGTACTCTCTTTTTACACAGAACTTTTAGAGTTTGAACAATTCCAAAGCTAACGTTCTTATTGTAGACATTAGGGTTTCCAGAGAAAAACACCTTCGCGAATCTGCTATTTATCGCAATATTGGGTTTTAATTTGAAAGACTGAGCTCCATTAGGTCTGAAGTAATAATAATTTGTATGAGTCCAAAGATGGAATCATAGTAATTGAACCGACTTACACATTGAGTTTGGAAACACTGCCTTTATGCGTCCTCCTCAGGTGAAAAAACTGCAAAAGCAGCAATGCAGCACATCAAAAGAGAGCACCTGTTGATGCCTGCAACAGAGAGCCTGAGACTCTGCAGGACCGTAGGGTCTGATACATTTTACTGGTAAAAGTTCACTATAAGGGACCCCAAAGTGTGCTTTGTTACTAGGAAACAACTAAGGAGGTGATGAGTAATGAACCAGAGACTAATGGGTAGTAAACCATTACTTACTGGTGAAAACTGTCAGGTGAGTGAAATGGAGGTGAGGATCCACACGTGGGTGAGGAAGGAGGCAGGCAGGCAGACAGGAGCATTTAAAGGGTTTTAATGAGACACGCAGGACAAAGAAACAATGAACCAACCAGACAAAATGGACTAACAGGGTTTAAATACAGGAGGAGCTGGGACCTTGGGTGATTGGGAGATGAGAGGCAGGTGGGAGCAATTAACATGAACACAGGACTGAACCGAATGGGGAGACAGGACAGGGTGTGAGAGTACAACCCACCCCCCACC